AAAAAAATTTAAAGGAAAGGTCTCTAATAGCAACGAGGTGATAATTAATGCGGTTAATGCTAATCTTGATAAGCTTAAAAAGTAAGATTTTAAAGACTGTTTTCAGAATTGGGTCTACAGGCTTAAGAAATGCATTGAAATCAATGGCGATGATGTAGAGAAAATAAAAAAGCACAAAGATTACGAATAAATATAAAAATAATTTTCTTTCTAGTAAACTTATCGAACTTTTGTTAATCCCCTCGTACATACATACGAGGTGTGTTCCTAAAAGTAGAGAAAAAATTTTAGTTTTTTTGTCATTTATAGAAATGTTCTTCAGTATCTCGGTTACGGCTGCTTGAGTGGCTGGGATATCATCATAAAATACTCCCTTGATCTTGGTTTTCAGTTTTGGAAATAAAAAATAGTTACATGGTGATAGATCAGGCGAATACGGATGATGGTCGATGAGAGAAATCCCTTTTTTCATTAAAAATTCGAGTGATTTTTTGGTCGTCATTTAATTCATGTGGAACAAATCGCGCACAGACCTTTTTTCTTTTCCCCAAATCTTCAGTTAAAATTCTCCAAATAGTGTTTTTACTCGTATTCAATTTCTCAGCCAACATTCTCGTAGTAAAATTTGCATCGATACCAATGATTTCACATATTTTTTCCACGAGTTCAGCACGAGTACTAATATCTGGGCGTCCTACTCTAGGGTCGTCATTTAAATCTTCACGACCATTTTTAAATCGTGTAAACCATGTATAAACTTGCGTACGACTCAAACAATCATCACAATAAACTTTTTTCATTAATTTTTTTTTAAGTTTGACACAAAATTTTATATTTGCTCTTTGTTCCATTTTATTTTTGAACCCTTGGTTTTATTGAAATGGCTGTCACCTTTACATCTGTCATCCGACTTTCATGATGTTAGCTGCGTTTGAAAGAGGATGAATGTATCTTTTTAATGTTGCAAATTTTCAATAGATGGCGCTGTATGTTGTATGATTTAAATATAAAGCTCGGTTATTTTTAGGACACACCGTGTAAAGTGCTCGTAATTTCAATGAAATCGAAGCCGGACACGTATAAAACCTTTTGTTCCTTATTCTAGAAAGTACAAAGAATATTTTAGCTAATGAAAGAAATCATTTTTGTGAAGCGTCTACAGTGGCCTTACCCCTTAAATTAATTTTCAATAAATAAATATTTGGAAATATAAAAAAACTGCAGCGACTTTTTTACTTTTATTTTAATATTTTGTACAAAAAAAATTAATTCTTATTATTTTTAACACACCTCGTACCCCATACATATATTTACTTGTAACGGTATGTTAAACACACGTACATTTAGTTAAACGCCGAAATGCGGAAAATAGTATTTGTAAGAAAAAGAAATTCCAACGCTTGCCGTCCAATTAAAAATTATTAATTTGAATATTTTAACTACTGCAACACAATAACTCAATAACTTAGTTGTTTTGATTTATTGTTATTTTTATTTATTTTTATTTATTTTTTTTTTGGTACTACCGCATGCAGCTTTATGCAAACGTTATGGCTTTCTTTCGTTTTTTACGCATTTTCGCGCCTGACTTTTATGTATGTATGTATGTATGTAGCAAAACTGTGTTGCCTTCCGCCAAATAAACGAACACTTCAATATTTTTACTGGCTACTCAATTACAAGCTCGAGTGCACTCGAATGCGTGTGGCACCTGACACAGGCACAATTGGTGCATGCAACAACCTGTTCTATTGCCACTACCAATGCAGTGTGTGTGTATGTGTGTGTGTGTGTGTGTATGCGAACGATGATGATAATAATCACATTGTCCATTGTACTATTCACATGCGATGATCTGCTTCTATTGTTGCTAACAAAGCCCATGTCAGCTGGGCTAGTGGTCGGGCGGTTGGGTGGGCTGGCTAGTTGTGCAACAGCAATGGCAAGTGTGTATATATATTACATATGTACATATATATGTGTATGTATGTATACCTGAGCCATCATCAACACTATCAATGTAAGCTATTCAATTTCAATCCTTTTACCCACATAAACCCCACACATACATACATAAATGCATATAAAAGCTTTTATAAATATTTATTTGGTATATGTATGTACATAAATACATATGTCTATATACATTTGTATGTATGTGTTTTTATATTGCTGAAGCACCTGCCAGATCCTCTTTGTTTTTTCATGTACTTTGACAATTGTTTATTGTTGCAATATCAATGCGAAATGGTCGTTCATGTGGGTGTGTAAATGCTGTGTGTGTGTGTGTGTGTATGTGTGTGTGCGTCATGTCATGACAGTGACAATTGAAAGAAAAGGATAATAGTACAGCTCGATTGCCGTGCTTTTGACTTGCATTTCCACTGAAACAAAAAGCAATGAAAAAATCGATACTTGAGCTTGCAAGAGACAAGTCAAATCTGTGTAGAGAATCATGTAAATTGATATACTATATACATAAGTATGTATATATATATCAGTCACATGTCTAAATATGTATTTAACTGCACACATGGCAGCATATATATATGTATGTATGTATTTATTATATTTTATATACTCATATGTATGTGTAGGCCATGCGGTTATCCGCTGAAAATAATCAATTTCGTCGACATGTTTTTATTGATTTAAATTAATTAATTTAAGCCGAATTTCACGCATCAATTACCAAGTAATATTTGATGCATTTAATTAAGGAAGTATTTAATGTTTGTTAAACCGACGAATTTCGATAGTTTTACAATTAAAATATTAATGAGATTTATTGAAAGCAATTATGCTTAACTGGGCAAATAAAATAGATTTCATCCTAAAGGGAATATTTTAGAATTTTAGGAATTTGTGATTAAATATTTTATTCAATGATTATTTATTTTCATTTCTATATAAATCTGTGAGCTAAAAGTAAGGTGAATTTTTAATTTGAACTTCGCGCGTTAGTATTTTAAGTTAATCCCTTTTTTAATGTTGGTAGCACTGTTATAGAGCTACGCCAAAATTCATGTCAATGTCATCATTGGTATTTTAGTTACGCTACGCACACAGCACTCATTCTTTGTAAGCATTCTGCTAAAAATTTCACCGTTTTCGCCGGACTTGGCACGATGTGACTTCTGGCTCTTCCAGAAACTCAAGAGACCACTTCGAGGATACCGTTTTGAGTCGATTGAGGAGATTAAACGTAATCGGCGCGCTCTCTGGAGGCCATATCAGAACGTGACTATTTCACATGCTTCGATAATTGGAAAAAGCGTTGGTATAAGTGCATTGCATCGCAGGAGACTATTTTGAAGGCGTCGAAATCGTTGAGGTCTTGAATCTACATTTGCCTGTTGGCGTAGGTAGACCTTATCTATCACGTCACCCCAAAGAGAGAAGTCACAATGTGTTAAATCACAAGATCTCTATGGCCAATTGTCATCACGTCTACGAGACATAACAGTTCAATACCTACCAGTTTCGGCCATAAAAAATCATTTATAATCTCTGGAGAGCGCAATCCATTCACCGAAACTGTTGCCACCGCCACATTTTCGAAAAAGTAAGGTCTAATGATCCCGTCGGACCGTATACCGTACTAAACAGTTACTCGTGAACGATGGAGAGACTTTTAAATAATAAATCTTGGGCTTTCCGAACCCCAGTCTAGATGATTTTTTTGATGAAATTAATAATAATAATAAGCCCAACGAATAACCTCCACCCGCCCAACCGACACGAAGGGTAACATCCGCACAACGTACGGAATACGACTAGTCATTATTGGGAAGCGTTTGTTAAGGGTCGAGATTTAAAACTGCTCAGCTACAGAAAAAAGAAATTATTCAATAGCTGAAATTTAGTAATTATGGAACTTTAAAATTTAATTGTTGAGAGAAGTAAGAATAGTTGTTTTGATGCCAAAAAGTGAGTCTGAGCGGTTGAATGTGCTGGAATGAAAATGAAAATTATGACACATCGGCGAAAGGGTTCATTCAATTCATAATTTGTTTTACATGACTTTAATACAATAGTAAAAGCCTAAGCTGCCTAGGTAAATACACGAGTTGGAATATTAAAGTTTACCTCAGATAAGATCCATGAACTACAAATTGATCCGTTAAGAAGTTTCACTGCGAACAATGAGCCCAACATTTCTCTACAACTTGCGAGAGTAGGTAGATTTAGAAGCCTTACATAGTTGGTATAGGTAGGAAGATTTATTGTAGGGTTCCATCAGAAATGCCTTAACGCAAAAAGTAAAAATTGTTTTTGCACAGACTCAAATTTATCGGAATGAACCTGTTAATTGGTGCTCCATATCAGTGAACCATATTCTAATATTGGCCTCGCCAAAGTTGTATAAAATGCTTTGGATACAAAGCGGTCTGTGAATTCATTGGCATTTTTAGCTTTTAAGACAGTGGTATTGACATGAAGATGAAAATTGAGCATAGGGTCCATCATAACCATCAAATCAACAAAGTTGAAAGTTTGCTCTAGACTACATTTATTAATTACATAAGGAGCAGGTTGAACAAGCCTTCGTGAAAAGCTCATGGTCTTACACTTCTAAAGATTCAAAGGAGTGTCATTGTTATCACCTCAAGATCGATTTGTAGCAAACATCTTACGTCGAATGAAGTATGTATATGACATAAAAAGTTTTACATCATCGGCATATAAAAAGATATTTTAATGCTTTATTACGGATTGATTATTGAGGAACTCCTGATGAGACATTTGGAAGCCCCATTGAAAGGCAATCGCAATTGGAAAAATTAATTTTATATAATTTCGAATATTTGTATACGTACGTAATATCATAGTGTGTACGCTAACCATTTGAATGTTTTTATTCAACTCCGCTGAGAATGATTTTTTAATATTAAAAAGCGGAAATTTTGTTTTGCGCGTTAAACTTTTTTTTAATTATTTCTTCCTTTAAATTCCTTTTAATATATTCATCAGCATTCACCCAACACTACAGCACTTACCTGGAGGACGGTACCATAACGTAACGACTTCATGCGAATACGTATGACTGGGAACACTTTTAGCGCGCGCCAAACCGAAATCCGCCAATTTCAATTCACCACAATCGCTAATCAACAAATTTTGCGGCTTAACATCACGATGCAGAACGCGTCGCTTATGGCAGTAGGACAGACCGCGCAGCAATTGAAACAGAAATAAACGAACATTACGATGATCCAGACCGCCGGGATGCTTTTCCATGTACTGTGATAAGTCGGTATTCTAGAAGATTAAATTTTATATTAAGTATTCTTACTTATATAATGACATTTTCACATTGGTTTACGCACCACATATTCAAAAACGAACGTCAGGGTTTCCCTTGTGTGCACAATGTCGTGCAGCGTCACAATGTTTGAGTGTTTCAGTTCTTTCAGCAGCGAGGCTTCACGTATCGCAGTAAATGGTGCACCCTCTTCCTCTTGCAGTCTAATTTCCTTTAATGCAACACGTTGATGAGTTAAACTGAAATAGAGAGAGGAGAATAATTTAAAAAAAAGAATAACTTCGATAGAACTGAAAAGAAAATAAAAAATTCTTCAAACCCACGAAAGGGAAGAGAAGAAAATTACCAATGAGCAGTAGTAGTTTTTATTCTATTCGAAAGTATTGGGTGTTTGCATTAATTCGTGCGGGTTTTTTTGGAAAATTAAGACCTTATTGTGAAAAAATTGTTATACATTTAATGTTCAAAGTATTGCCCATCAGAAGCTACGATGTTTGCCCATCTTTCTGGCAGTTTGTGAATCCCTTCCCAAAATAATTTCTCCGGCTTGGAGGTCAAGAAAGAATCGAGCCAATTTCTGATACCCTGTTCTGTAGTGAAGCGTACTCCGATGAGGGTATTCTACATTGATCTGAACAATTGGTAATCGGAAGGTGCTATTTCTGGGCTATAAGGCAGATGAGGCAGAACTTCCCACCCCCAGATTTACAAATAGTTTTTACTGGCCTTGCTACATGTGGCCGAACGTTGTCATAATGAAAAATTTTTGATTCGTGTCTACTCTCATATTCTGGTCGTTTTTCCGCGATGGTCTTTTTCAAACAGATGAATTGTTTTCGGTAGAGGTCCCCATTGATCGTCTGACCCGATTTCAACAGCTCATAACAGAGCACACCCTTTTGGTCGCACCAAATACATTGCATAACCTTGGCATCGTGGATATTCGGCTTTGCCGTGGATGTCGATGGTTGGCCGGGCTTCACATACCATCTCTTGCGCTTTGGGTTATCATAATGAATCCATTTTTAAGGCACCCAATTTCCAACCTTATAGATGAATCCTAATGACTTTAATCGTCTGGAAACGTTTGCTTGATCAAGTCCTAATACTTTCGCAAGTTCTTCTTGCGTCTGGCATGCATCTGCCTCGGGCAATGTCTCCAATTCTTCGTCTTGAAATTTTTTTGGCTGTCTGGGTCGTTCTCCGTCGTCTAAGTCGAAATTGCCACTTTTAAACCGTGTAAACCACTTTTGGCACGTTCGTTCGGATAAAGCATAATCACCATAAACGTTCAGTAAAATACGATGGCTTTAGGTAGCGCTTTTCTTCAAGTTAAAGTAATGAAGAAGAACTCCCCGCAAAGACACTTTATCTGGTACAAATTTCGACATTTTCAAATGAATGAAACAAATTATATTTCGCGTTAAAACAATTGCCATCTACTGAGAACGATGTGATATGACAGTACCTTTAAAATGAATATAGCCACAGATGAACACGACGCAAAATAATACTAGTAGAGCCCTCTCTAAGAAAACCAAGAATTAATGCGTTTGAGAAAACGATAACGGGTAGTGTTGTACCGATTCTTCCTCATCTATGTCGTTTGAGAACCTGCCCATCCTTCTGTCCAATAATACAGTATACGGTTATTTCGCAGAAAGTTCTCTTTAGAAGAAGTAAGTAATTACTTTTATTCACTTCGATCAATAACCAGATTTGTCTGCCATATTGTACTTGGTGTCACCCCGTCATTTGCTGTTGGAGCTTCTGGTGTAAATTAACCTTAACATATAGATACTTTGGCGAAAAAAGGTTACCGAGGCTATAACTATTCTCATCGGCCTCCCAGCTCCATGGCATATCAATGAATTTATCTTCTTTTTTTTTTTGCCGCCTAAGAAAGACGGCTTGAAAGAAATATTTTAATACCTTTTATTGCACCATACGCTCCATACGCTTAGAAGATATCCCAAGAGTAATAAAAAAATCTTCAAGTTGAATATTATATGGAAGCAAGATCAAACGGCCGCGGTGGCCGGGTATTGCGTAATGCCATTCGGAAGGCTCGGGTTCAAATCACCGTGCGACCAACATCAAAAAGTTATGGAAAATTATTTTAACTAAAAAATTTAGCAAAATTTTCAATTAGCGGACGCACCTCGGCGGGGAATTTCAACACCTTTGAGTACAATATATTTCGGACATGAAATAAACCGTCTCATAAAAAAAACCATCAGCCGTTCGGAGGTGGCTTAGTATAAACAGTCGGTCCTTCCATTTGTTGGAAAAACATCAAGACGAATACCTACAAATTTGAGGAGGAGCTTGGACGAAAATCGCTTTAGCGGTTACGAGGGCCAATTACACAATGTATATATTATATAAGATAAAACAATTCTGAGCAAACACGTTTAGTGTCAAAAGTTCTCGAAGTGAAACTAGCTTATGGAATTTTTGTGTAATCCCCTCGCATATTCTTTGGGATTTCTCTATTGTTCCGAAATATACTCACAAGGGTATTTTTAAATGTTGAAAAAAATAATTTGGCCATTTTTACAGCATTTAAATGACTGAAAACTATAGTCCTACATAGCCCTTACTACAGTAAGGTAAGTAAGAAAAAAAAAAATAACAAAATGGCACAAAGTAGACATCTTCGAATGACCACATCTTCTAATTCATTCTTGATGTCCTAAATGCCAATACATGTAAGCATGTTTGTTGTTGCCAGAGCTTAATTCTTATAACTCAAGAGTTCATAAAGTATGTTACTACTGTATAAATATGTATGTATGTATAATGTGCACAAGCCACACGAACATTTCATTGCCAAAACTACCAGAAAACGCACCTGAATGCTGTTGCATGTAGAACAACCTGAACAAGAATCAAGATCGAAAGCAACAGCTGTTGTTTATGATAAACATAGAACAAATATGGAAAAACTTTAACGGTAAATTTAGCAGAGAAATAGCAACACATTTTGTGTGTTTGTTATGTTTCTATGAGGCGAGTTGACTAACCCACAAGTAATTAGCAGTAAAAGTAGGAATTTCAGCAAACTTTATAAACATTCCAGTTCGTGCTCATAGGCGAATGGGACATGCATACATCCTGTGGCAAATAGCCCATTACCAAGTAGAAACTAGCACTTGATGTTAATTAAAGATTAACCAGCTTGATAAAAGCAAAATTTGTGATATGATTCTACGTTGGGAAGGCATTCAATGATAGTGATATTCAAAGAGTGCAAAGGATTTTAAGAAAAATTCCAAAAGGCACAAAAATTGTAATAATATAAAGTTATGATTTTAGTCTGAAAATATCTACAGCAACTACATTTTAAACAAGGATGTACTTAAGAGTCTGGAAGAAGATACTGTGGGAGGTAAAAATTACTTTTTGGAGGGACTTTTGCGCTGATATTGGGGGCATAACAGAGGTTTTTTTTCAAGGACAACGTCAGGCGACGAAACCAAAGAGCAAAACCTGCAGCCCCCATAAATCGCATGGAATTATCAAAGCACGGTGTCAAAACAATTTATTAAGGAATCTATGATATTCATAACCAATAGCCTGAGGCGCCAGTGATATTCATTACCAAAGCCGAAAAGGCTATGTATAGTAGTCACAAGGATCTCAGACCTATATATATTTGTGCTGAAGACGCCAGGTAACCGGGTCATACCGGGTAACTCTCTTTCACAATCGATTGACAAACTTTTGATAACCAAAAGCTTCTGGCGCGTCACCAAAGACGTGTGTGGCCTGGCGTTGTCCTGATGGAACACAATGCTGATCAAATATGGCCTCTTCTAGATTAGTGCTGCCTTCAAGCGGTCCATTTGTTGGCAGTAAACGGTTGAATTGAGCGTTTGGCCATAGGGGAACAGCTCGTAGTAGATGATTCCTTGCCAATCCCACTAAACACACAGCAAAACCTTCCTGGCCGTCAATCCGGCCTTGGCCACCGTCTAGGCCACTTCCCCGAGCTTTGACCACAACCGTTTGCGCTCAATGTTGTGGTAAGTGACTTATTTTACATCGCCAGTCACAATCCGCTTCAGAAACGGGTCGATTTTGTTGCGATTCGCAGATGAAAATTCGAACATCCAGCTTCTTTTCGCATCCAAGGTTATGCAAATGGTTCCAAACGGTTTTCTGGATTATCTAGAGGTCCTCAGCAATTAAATAAGAGCTCACGTGACGGTCTGTTTCCACTATTTCCATGATTTTATCGCAATTTTCGACGACAGGCCTCCGGACTCGTGGTGCATCTTTGACATCGAAATTACCGGAACGGAACCCAGCAAGCCATTTTTTTGCTACACGTTCGTTTAAAGTATCGGACTCATAAACTAAATTAATTTTTTCAGCCACTTTGCCTGCTTTTGCGCCTTGATCGATAAAAAATTGTAAAATATAGCGAATTTTCTCTTTGCTGGTGTCCATCTTTGACGAGCGCCCATAATGTACTGAGTCAATCAATCAAAAAACTGTCAAACAGTCTTAGACAAATTAGACGCTACTGATGTGAACTACTTTTCCAGTGTCACGGGCTCAACGGCCATTTGAGTTCCCCTTTTACAGATGAGAAAATGCTAATAGAATGGTTCGACAGGTTCATAATCAAGCTGCTGCAAAGGCGTTACATATCTTCACTTATGTGGAAGAAGTGGGGCAAAAGTACACCAGCAGACCCAGCTCCAGCCCACAAGGCAAAAACAACTCAGCGGGTTAAAAGTGGCTTAAAAGTTATATTCTGAGCTTCATAGCTCCAGATGATTGGCAGTCTAGAAGTCAAGATTTGAATCCTGTCAAATACTCGACAGAAATTTGGAGAGTCGCAAATAATCTTTGGTTCGAGAAGCGTCGTCAATACCAATAGAAACTGTGCTGCTTTATTTTACAACATTGATCGTTAGAGTTAGGGGATCTCGGGTATTCGGACATGCTACTTCTTACTGTACCCGATTGGAGAAGTGGGCTTGGGCGACCGAGGGCAAGTTTCCAAGCTTCCACAAAGCTTTATGTGATCTAGTGCAAAGAATACTTCGAAAGATAGCATTGTAGACCAAACGCCGCAAGCTCAATGCGAACCTTAATACGGTGTAACTTATTCTATTCAACAGTTGTGAACGAAGTTCGCCAAAGCCTGGGAGCTAAACGAAGTATTTAAAAGCATTTTTCAGCTTAGCTGAAAAGAATGTACTCGTATAACTCAGAAGATTTGAGA